ACTTTGCATACCTGGAACCTAGAAAGTAATGCCAAACTTAAGACTTCTATTCCATTACTGGTACTGTTGTAAAGAGACTTGAAGAAAATATACTGAAAATGTGAACAGTGTATCTTAAATTGTATGGTCGTTGATTTAAAAAATATATTTGTAATTGTTGGTATTTTTTTTTCAAGTTTCTTCACTGAACATGCTATTTTGAATTAAGAGGACATTTTTCTAGTTGTCCAATCATTTTCAAGTCAGAAACTTGACTTCTATCTTTGTAGGAGATAAAATACAAGAGGTAATTCCTAAGAGAAATTTCCCTTGAAAATTCTTTTAACAGTTAAATACATGAATGTGATTTAAATTAGATTCTATTTCGTGCCATGCTATTCCCTAAAGAATAACTGATAAAAACTGGCATGTTTTACTTGTATTATACCTTATGGTAGAGCATGAGTTAGCATGTTTGGGAAGATGTAAAACCAGGTTTGTTATCCCCTAATGATTTTGGTTTAGACTCCCTAATGTTTAGCAACTAATGATTTTACTTAAAATGATTAGCTTGTGATTCCTTTGTAGTAGCTAAACACCACAAATCATTTTTTGAAGGTCCATGGCTAAAGTAAATACTGTCGGTTGGATACATGTACCTTTTACAGGGAAGATTAAATAATATTGACCGAGTGCATAGTCTTTTAAAAACAGAATTTTGAAATTATTTATTTTACTTCTTTATTTTATGGTAGGAGGAAGGAATTAGGTTTATTTAGTATTTATTTTTTCTTAGAAGAGGTACAGGGGGTTGAACCCAGGATCTCATGCATGCCGAGCATGCACTTTACCACCTGAGCTATACCCTCCCCCTGCTAAAAACAGAATTTTGAATCATGACAGATTTACCTTCTGATGTGTGCATCTTATGTTCTTTTGATTTATTGCCTGTGCCCATTTCTGTGCCTTTTATTAGATGGAAATCCAGTGGTTCCTAGCGTTAACTTTGGAACTATTCATTTCAATTAATGGGGGAGGGGTATAGCTCAAGTGGTAGAGCACATGCTCAGCACCCAAGAGGTCAGGGGTTCAATCCCTCGTACCTCCTCCAAGTGAAACTCAACAAAGAAACCTAATTACCTCCCCTGCATTAAACAAATGTTATACACCGAAGATTTTCCTAGTTCATAATCAACCAGTGTCTAGTCTCACTTTTTCCTGTTGTAAAGGAAGCTGTCATAGTTTAGATGGCCTCTTGGCTGCTCGGTCTGAGACCACTTTCACGGCCTCCATTGCCTCCACGTGACCACACGTTTGCCAAAGAAATTGTCGGCAGAGGTGATACATACAACCTCTGGTATCTGTCCTTGAAAGGAAGCCTTTTGCTGTCTACGTTTTCTTTCTCTTTTCCATGGGGTGGAATCCAGCGGTTATGATAGACAGCATCCTTCATTAACACCCATGAGAACAGCATCTTAGGAGCTGGATGGCAGTATGGAGAAGGGCCACCTGCTCCTCCTCCAAGCTGCCCATAGCCTTAGACTCTTACTCGAGAGAGAAATGACAGCAGAACCAAACCACTTTAGTTTACCCAGGTTAGTTCTATTCATGTCACTTTTCCAATTTAATCCACACATAAAACTAAAAATTGTTTTTAAAATGTTTATCCTTTGAAATTCGGGGAAACAATTGCTTCAGGGGGAGGAGAGTCAAGAAAGATAAAACATAATTAATATTATTGATGTTCACTTTTAACCGAATTTTGCTTCCTGGATATCCTAAAAAATATATATATACAAATCTGGTTGCAAAATGAGCTGGGTTTGAATTTCATCTGTGCTGAAGTGACTTAAAATCTTTTCAACTCAAATCGGTGAATCCCGTGCAAGGTGACTGTGCAATTATAGATGATACACCTTAGACACACACACAGGCAAAGCATATTGATCATAATTTGCTGATTTGCTCCGCATCTGTACTGAATCGATCAGGCTTCAGTAATCACTTGGGTACAGTGCTCCAAAATATCTCCTCTAACAGAAATGTGCCATTGGTGGTTAGGCTGAGGGTAGGTGGTTTGTGCAGAATCAAAGCCAACATAATGCCTAGCCGCCATCCCTGTAATTTACTCCTCCTATGAATTGACCAAAATGAGGCAGCAGATGCTAGAGAAGCTGTGGGCAGGAATCCCGGCAGGCATGAGGCTGGGAGAGAAGCCTCGGCTTAATGGGAACAAGCAACCTTTTCACCACTTCTCCAAGAGTATCTAGAAAATCCTGGTTTTCTTAAAGAATTGCGATCTTTTTCGTCCAGCGGTGTACTCTGAAGAGTTAACGGCATTTCTGTAACTTCTTTTCAGGGATTTAGCATTTGCATTCAGTTAATTTCTTCTTTCTTTTTTTAGTTTTGATTTTTTTTACTGTGTTATAGTCAGTTTACAACGTTGTGTCAATTTCTGGTGTACAGCACAATTCTTCAGTCATACATGACTATACATATATTCATTTTCATATTCTTTTTCATCATGAACTACTATGAGATATTGAATATATTTCCCTGTGCTGTATAATATAAACTTGTTTATCTATTTTATATATATACCTGTCAGTATCTACAAATCTCCAACTCCCAGCCTATCCCTTTCTACCCCCTCCCTCCTGGCAACCACATCTTCTTTCTTTTCTTTTCTTTTTTCTTTTTTCTTTTTTTTTTTTTGGCTGTGGGAAGTAATTAGATTTATTTATCTTTAGAGGAGACACTGGGGGTCGAACCCAGGACCTCGTGCCTGCTAAGCATGCACTCTACCACTTGAGCTATACCCTCCCCCATAGCATTTTCCTTTATGCTGATTAAAATATGGTGTAGATAATTATGCTAGGATTTTTTTTAATCTTTCAAACACTCAGGAATAATTTTAAAATCTTTCCATGGCTTGTACCCAATTTTTATTTCTCAAAGTGTTTCTACTTGTGGAAAATTTGCTTAGACAATGCTCTTTTGTTATCTTCTCAGTAAATGTTAAGTCAATGCAAAATGAGGGGATTTGTATTTCTAAAAATAACCTCTTTCACAGGAAGAAGAATTAAGGAAGAGTGGGGAAGCCAAATATGCCCACTTGAGTGATGAACTTCATGTGTTAATTGAAGTGTTTGCTCCACCTGGGGAAGCTTATTCACGTATGAGTCACGCCTTGGAAGAGATTAAAAAATTTCTGGTTCCCGTAAGTATTTTTTTCATTTTTCATCAAGATGTTTCTCATCAGTTTCTATTAAAAACTGTGCCTTTGATCATCACTGACTCTTTAGAAGGCAATTGATATTGCAGACTAATTATTTGTAGAGTTGATATGAAGGCAAAAATAAAAAAAGAATACACAAAAGACTTTGGCATGTTGCCACACGGTAGTGGTTGACAGCAGCGTTTGTGTTCAGCTACAGGCTGCAGATCAGTTCTTAGCCACAATTAAGACAGTTAACACACAACCACAAACACATAAGTGAGGTTGTAGCCTTTTCTCTTGTGCCTTAATTCCTTAGTAGTTGACATGTATCATTTATAATTTTTAATTAATAGAGAAACTCTTTTCAGGCACAGTGGGAGGGGAAAGAGATTAGATATATCATATTTGTAACAGACAATGATAGTATTTGAAAATATCAAATGTTTTTTTCTGCGGTAGTATGCCAGGTGCTGGCTCATGAAAAAAAATCGTATAAAATAATCAATATGAATAGAGTCAGACGTGTTGAGGTCACACAAAAATTGGAAAAATAAAGTCATTGCTCTATATGAGAGAAACAGCAGATTCAGGGCTGCATATTGAATAGAATTCCCTGCTGATTTTCTAGAGGAAGGTTAAATGCATGAAGCTTTCCTAAAGGTCGACAATTTAGCATTTGAGGAAGAGGTTGTTCAAATAGAAATCTTGGCATTGGCTTAGAGCTGGGAATAAGATAATTAGAGAATGCTGAGTAAAGTTTTCTGGAGTGCCCTGGCAGAAATTTTCAGCAGAAAGAGAGAAAGAGAAGAGCTAAGATTAATCTGTGCAATAAAGGAACACTGTAGATTTCTAAACTAAGCAATAAACTCAGAGGAAATGGTAGGTAAGATTCATTGATTGGCCAGTGATTTTCAGAATGGGAAAAGAAAAACCAATGACAAAGAATTTCGGAATGGAAAAGCCTCAAAAATCTAAATACATAGTCTATTTTTATGCCCAATTTAAAAATTTCTGTCAAGGGAAGGTTATAGAATCATTCCGTAGCACTCTGATCATTCCATGGCTTTATATGCACATGGAACATCCGCACAATTTACTATCTGGTATTTATGTGAACACCTCCCTAAATAGATCTCATATTTCTTAAGAACGGGGATGCTGTGTTCTCTCTTCCTTTTGCTTCTGAACAGAAAAGCTGGTGCTGTTGGGTAAAGAGTTTTACTATATTTAGCTCAGACCAGACCTCTGGTGATTAAGTGGTAGAGGAAAAAGCTAGGACTGCCTGCATTACTGACTCATTTTGTGACTGTAGACAAGTCAGTTAATTCTCAGAACTTTAGCTTAATCATCTTTAAAAAGATAATCTTCAGCTGACCTCTCTCACAATTATTCTGAATATCAAATGGAATAATGCATATGAAAGGACATAGAAAATTAAAATGCACTACATATATTTTAATATATATAATACATAAATTCATTGATATTTTAATCTATTTTATTATTGTAGATAGAATCTTGGAATGAGTTTTTGAGGTGAGCTATGTACAAAGAAATACCATTTCATTACAACATAGATTTTAGATCTAGGCTGTAGGCTAGGTTAACTCTATTTTCTTATAAATACCAGTAATGCATGTCACTTACGTCTTAGACCTAGTACTTGTAATCATTTCATTTACGTCTTCACCCCTGAAATGTATACTCCGTGAGGGCAGGGCTGGCAGTGTCTCTGGTGCTCCCATCATTAGAGAATTGTCTGGCACAAATAAGTGTTTGTTCAGGGGTCTGGCTGAAGGGGGGCGGTGTAGCTTAGTGGTAGAGCGCATGCTTCACACGCATGAGGTCCTGAGTTCAATTCCCAGTACCTCTATTAAAAAAAGAAAAAGAAGAAGTGGTCTGACTGGGGCCCCTTTCACTTGTTTATTTTCCTCTTAGCTCTTAACTTCAGATATACTATGTTTATTTTTTTGCTTATTTGTTGCCGATTTTCCTGCTAAAATATAAATGTCGTGAGGACAGGGTTCATTGTATCATTTTCACTGCTCTGTTCTCCAATTTGGATGATGCCAGGCACCAAGTAAGCACTTCATAAATATTTTGTCTATGAATGAATAAGCTTTAAAAAAAATTCTGTATCACTCAATGTGGAATTAGCAGATCTTACAATCAATGAAAGGCATTCTACTTGGTAAATTTTTTTTCCCATTTGCCTTAGTACCAAGCAAAGGATGGCAGCTGTTGACTTCCTTCATTGCCAGAACCACCAGGGGCAAAAATGAACTGTTATACGAAATCACTTGGTGATTTCAGGTTTCCTTTGACATTTAAATAAAAGCCCATAGAACTAACATGTCAGGATACTAACTCTTAGAAACATCACAGGTGAAGAACCGTAGCCAGCAGGAGGCAAGCTAGAACAGCACGGAAAGGTAACGCAGACTGATAGGGGGTTCTCCTGACACCCAGTTCCTCTGCTAAATGGAACATCTTTCCACGGTTAGAGCTTTCACCTTCCTCTACGTTATCCACCACGTACCCAACTTTGCCCTCCAATGGGATGTAATCGTCTAAGGCTGCTGACTGAGAAGCATCCAGCTCCTCAAAAATGTCTGTATCATGTCAGATGTTGGAAATCAGCATAGTTTTCACATCTTCAGTGATTTATTAAAGGCAAAAGAAATATTATTGCCATGGGGAAAATTTCCAGCTTGGTGGCCGCCATTCAGCCTTATCAAAACAAGTAGTGTGGCAGGTCAATAACACATCAATCAACTGAAGCTTGCTCATTTTAAATCTCTAATGCTCTGTGAAGGTGCTGTATTAAAGTTTTTTTTTAATATTTGCTAATTTGTCTTGCAAATATAGATTAGGAGCGGTAAATAAATTTGACAAATCATGACAAAAGGGATATAAAATCCTACACTAACACATGTTTCAGTTATGTTAATGCCCGTCTCTTCCCTTTGTAACCTATAAATGGGGAAACAAGAATTGCCATTATTATATTTTGTAACACCCCTTTCTTTAATAGCCCAGGCACTAAGGCTGGCACATAGGGCTGTGCAGATTGCTCCTTGCAAAATGTTGGGGACGGCATGTACTTTAAAATAACGTCACTGTATCGCATTTTCCTAAATTGGCTGCCTCTCACCTTCCATTAGGTTGCATTGGTAAGTTTTACCAATGCTTAGTAATTAACTCATCATTAAAACAAAATGCACTATCTCATGATCAGAACTTAGGAAGTCTTCAGGAAGATTCTGCCTTTTGAATGTGAATTTACACATCCTTTAGTTTAAAAAAAAAAGATGAAAGGAGGGTTTTCCACACAAACAAGAAACCAGATCTAGGTCACAGATCACAAATATCTTTGTTACCTCCTTAAGAGTTAGTCATTCACAGGATTAAGAGATCGCAGCACTTACTTCCACCAACCCTGTCCTGGTCTCAGAATCTTTCTGGTGTTTATGCTACACAGTACTGTTGTATTACCAGAGGTGACGGAATGTGAAAAGTGGTATTTGTCATGCCTGCGTTTAATCTCTAATGAGCATCACTAGAGGTTTGCATCATTTAAAGAAAATATGTGTGTGTGTGTGTGTGTGAGTGTGTGTGTGTGTTAGGTCTTAAAAAAAACACTCTCCAGTAGAAAACGAACAAACACAGATGGACATTCCCAGCTCCCCATATTTAGTTCCTTCTTTGCTAGAAAGGGAAACATACTGTTTGAAGATTTTCACGTCATCTATAGTAACACATAAAGTGGCGTGAATACACACACACAACTTTTATACTAATGTGAAGTTTTATATTTGTCTGTGTGTGTCCTTTGTTGGTCCTGCCAGTCTCACATACACAACTTTTAGTCAATCCAACACAGGCAAAAAAAAAAAAAAAAAAAAAGAATCATTCCAGGTTATTTCTTTCCTGCATTAGATGGGATGTATGTCTTGGTGACAGATGTGATTGCCCCTGAAATGGGGCAATTAGGGCATATTATTTCATTTCACATTTGAAATATTGGAAACCCATACAGGAAACCTACTAAGAGTGCCTATGGAGGAAAAGTAAATCTCTTTTCCTCCGTATGGTGAAAGCAAATTGAGGACATTCTTGCTTTCTAGTCCTCAAAGATTGTAATCCTAGCTGTGAAATGGGAAAATGACACTGATTGCCAACAGCAATCAGACAGGAAAGTTAAGTAGATATAATACAGAAAAGAGAAAAGAAATCAGGGTATTTTCAGTCTAGGAGATAGAAGATGATCTAGACTTTCATACACAAAAAAAAATTAATAACATTTTGGAAGATTTATTTCACATAAGAATGCTTAGAAATAGATGTAATAGAAATAAATATAGAGGAATTCATGCTATAATTTGGTAAACAGTGAACATTTGGTCAGAGTCTTTCATGCAGATGAATATACAGGGAATACAAGGGATTAAATAAAAACCCACCAGCCAGCGAAAGTAACACTGATGAATGTCAAGGCTACAAGGTGGGGAATGGCGGACCCGTTTGTCTGGCTGATGGCAGGAGTTCACGATGAAGGCAATAATAACACCTTGCAGGCAAGAGAATGGCCAGGAACAGAGTAAAACAATAACATTCAGTGCAGAGGGAGAAACAGAACCCTCCACCTGGATGTCATTCCTTCATTGATGTGGCGGTTGTTACAGTGCTGTCAAGAGTTTGCCTCGGACTTCCATCCTCAAAACCAGTGAATTCCCTTTGCTTTCCTGTGATTAACTGTATTCTAATAGTGTGGTAGCGAAAAGCGCTAAGCACAAAGCCATGCATTGGTGGAGCTGCTGCTTGTGCAGAGTGTTTCCTGTCTTGCCATAGCACTATGATCGTATTCTATTTGGAAAAATTTGTCATCATCTAATGCTGAGTATTTCTTCTTATCTGCTAAGTTGTAATAAGTAATATAAGCCTATGACTTTAAAAGAATTAAAATTATTACTGGTTCTTAGAATAGAACTAATAATAATTATATAATAATAATACTGACATTATTATTATTATTATTA